AAATTTGGACTGATCTACTGATAAAAACTACCGTGTAGTGAAAATAAATTTAGAGTGTAAAAATTGTGCAATTACTATCAAATTAAATCATCATCATAGAATTACTATCAGAAAGCTAACACAAAATGAATTATAAAGGTGATTAGAATTGTTAAGATTGTGTCAAGAATATGCATGAAAATACTCATCAAAGAATATTAGAAATTATCTTTTAATTCTGATTTCTGAAGGTAGCAGGATTTCTCAAACTTTTACAAGCCAATCGTCCGAACAAACTAAGGGTGGATTCATGCACCATTTTCAAAAGTTGTGTATTGTTTCAAGTTTTAAGAATTTATGTTTCTCATGTCGTGTTACTACTAAAAACGTTTATCTCGTGCACATAGATATTATGAGTAAGTACATATATAAGAATATCCATCCTTGTAATTGATTGTTCCGCTGAAAAATAATTAACTGATTACGATTTCATACAAGACTTGAGACTGGGTGCTTCAATCCAAAGTTACCTGTTACCTATATTGAAACGATTATAAATATTTTTCTACGAGTGTGAAGGCAGCCACGGATTTCTAGCCATGAGTTTGTAGCGTGAGCCTTACTGCACACGGCGTCAGCGGCATCCAAAATGTTTTGTAAATTGGAGAACAGCTACGACTATTTCTAATAATTAATGAAAATTCACTGCAGAATGTTCTTCGAGAAATGAATATTGATTCATTATATTGATAAGAGGATTTAACCTGTATCTCATAATATTTTGCCAGGCAGAAAACCTATCTTCACACAACCGTACATGCTTTGAAAATAAACTTCAATAAATCCATTAAAATATTCGTGGATGGGGATTTTTTTGCATAATTACATACTATGAGAGGTACTGAATGAGACCTATATCTCAAAATATTTTGCCGGGCAGAAAAACTACCCCCACAAACCCTTATATGTTTTCTATATTAAATTCAATAACTCCATTAAAATATTCGTGGATGGGGATTTTTTTGCATTATTACATACTATGAGAGGTACTGAATGAGACCTATATCTCAAAATATTTTGCCGGGCAGAAAAACTACCCCCACA